TGAGTCTTGGTTTTGGATTCTCTTTTTGTTTTGTCGGATCAGACTCCCTTACAGTTCGGCAGGGAGATGGCATTTTGTTTTGTAAATACCCACAGACAGAACTTGAGATTTTCCTGAAAGGCTTTACAGCTTTGTGGAAAAGTAAATCATATCTAGTAACATACTGAATTTGGTTACTGAGATTTCAGGAAGATCAGTGCGATGAAATGTCCTTAGTTTGCCCTTGGGAGAAACGGTACTTTCATTGTAACAGAACAGCTCTTTCATATGGAAATAGCAGGTGGCAGGAGTAAAAACAGACTTTCATTTTCAGGGAAACAGACGGAAGGATTCCAAGAAAAGTGGAATAGCAGGGCTAGGTTGGAATTGTTCACAGCTTTATTCTGCAAAAATATTCCACTTTTGCCATGATAGAAGTGAGAGCAGGTGTCACCCCATACCCCCTGTGTGTGTCAGTTCAATCAAGTAATCTGGTTGACTCGGTATACAAGAGCCTGCTGTAAAGACCTGCATTGAAATGTAAATCAAGAAGAAATCTAGTTCAGTTTGTGCCTATCCCAGAGCTGCACAAGGGGGAGAAAAAGCAATTAAGAGCACTAAATATACAAAACAATCCTTAGTGATGGTGTCAGGCTGAATTCCCAGCTCTGTGTGGTGATTTATTAATCCTTTCATCAAGCATGTGCCATCCTCTGAATTCTTTTCCAGCTCTGAATGCTGGTAAGCATTTCCTTGGAAGCTGTGGATTGTTAAACCATTAATGGTTTAGTGGTAGGTACTTATTAAGAAAAAGACACCTTCAGCCACAAACAGGAATAAAGAAGAGATATCCAGTGATATCTGCAGTGATATCCAGTAGATATCCAGAGATATCTACTTAGGAGTTCTCACCATGACTTCTCGAAGAAAAATAAGGGTTTTGAGAGTCGTTTGCATGTGGAGGCAGAGGAACGGTCATCTCTTCCACATTGATTTGTCACACACTGGAACTATAAAGAAACTCTTCAGAGCTCTAGGCAGCTTGTGCAGTTCTTTAAGCTTCAGATTTTTAGGCCTTCAGGTAGCTCCTATTTAAAGGGAACAAAGCAAACAACAAAAAACCCAGGTTGGACTTCGAAGTATGGCCTGAAACGATACATATTGCTGTGAGAGAAGCTGCCTTTCCACAGAGACATTCAGGGGAAACATCATGCCAGGCTCCCCTATGCTTTATACCAAAGAAAGAGCTTCACCACTCTGGGTATTTAGGAGAGAGGTTTATCCCACGTTTGCCTTAATGGGCCTAGACTTGTCTGAGTTGATCTCACCAAACCCCAAAGGGATCCATCCTCCTGCCTAATAGAGGTTTCTCCTTTGGCTGCGTCTCCCCACCAAGAAGCCCAACTGAACCTGCTGCTGCTGAGGAGTGAAACGTTATCAAAACATTACCAGACCCAACTCGGATTAGAACATGAAGGTATATTTCTTCTGTAGCTAGTTTTTTAGCAGAAATCATGCTTAAAGGCACCTAGAAGATAGCTGGTAGTGAGAAAGCTGGAGCTCTGGGAGCCCCAGGCAGCCAAGACTTGGAACCGACACTGGCTTGGAAGAGCAGACTGGAACAGCAGACTGGTATTAAATACCAAGAGAGAAAAAGAATGAGAAATCAGGAAATGGAATAGTATTGGTATTTCCTAAAGATCAGAGTTTCCTATAAAATGAACGCTTGCCATGCAATTTCAAAATATCAAGACGTTTGCCTTTCTTTCAGGCTTGTAAGAAACAGCTAATAAATAAAGATCAGAGTCTGAGAAGTTACCTTGTCAAACCTCTCTTAGCATGCTGTTTGAAACTGGATTTCCTTAAGGTCTTTGAGTTGGCAGCTTTGAAGGGCTTGCTATGTGTTCCTTGGCTTGAATTCTGTTTAGGCATTACCTGGCATCAGATGCACACAACAACTCGACAAGTCTGAATGGCTACAGAATTTACAGCAATATATTCTGTTCCATTTCTGCTTGGATTTTGTACTGCGACTGTTTATGAGCCAAACATAAATTACCTGAGTTTAATTCATGACCCAGAGTTCAGAGCATTTCACCAGAAATAGCATACTCTGTTTGGGACACTACTGCCAAAATTGCATTCCTGGAGCTGAATTCCTATCCCATCCAAGACATTCGTTCTACCCTTATTTCCCATCATACTATTTTATACTATTTAGGTCACTTAGAATTTCATGCTCCCACACTTACTTCTTATATGTTTCTTTGCAATTATGCTCTTAATTGTGTTCTCTAAAGTCACCTTCAGACCTTTAAATACCTTCAAATTAAAATAGCCATTTGACTTCAGTCCATATTGCATTTGCTAGGAAAGCTGTACCAAACCACTTGCATTCCTTGGACAGAAGGAAGAACTGAAAGATGCCCAAACAAAATCTTATTTAGTCTAGCATTTATTTGGCCAGGCCCATGAGGAAAACCTGCTGCTCTTTGCTTTAAATGTTGCTTTAATTAAAGCTAATAATAATGCTAATATTAATTCTATCCTATGCAAGATGTTTAGCCCTGATCCCAGTTTGGTTGTAAATTTAATTGTAACTAATGCAATTCTAGTTTTAATTTCATTACAGCTGTCTGCATCGTCACAAGCACATTATGTACAGAGAAAACACAGACACAAAATGTAGAAATTTTTCCCTTGGGGATTTTTTTTTTTGATTTCCTATTGAAGAAATATTCAAGAAACCGTGAGCTGTTGTAAACCACACGCTAATTCCATTTAGGATCCATCACTTAATGTGCTATCCTAGGATCACAGAATGGTTTGGATTGGAAGGGACCTTAAAGCTCCTCCAGTTCCAACCCCTGCCATGGGCAGGGACACCTTCCACTACAGCAGCTTGCTCCAAGCCCCTGTGTCCAACCTGGCCTTTAACACTGCCAGGGATGGGGCAGCCACAGCTTCTCTGGGCACCCTGTGCCAGCGCCTCAGCACCAATCTACCCTGTCAGGTTAAAGCCATTCCCCATTATCCTGTCATTACATGTCCTTGTCAAAAGCCCCTCTCCAGCTTTCTTGTCAGCCTCTTTAGCTGCTTTAAGGTCTCCCTGGAGCCTTCTCCAGGCTGAACAACCCCAACTCTCTGTGATATCGGTATTTAGTGGCCTGTGAGATCCAGCTCTACAAGAACTTACTCTCATACATAGAGCAGAAGACAGAGAAAATGAGTAACAGAGGAGTCAAGAAATGAAATATACTGAATCAGTAATGATTACACTTTTTGAGTGTTTTTCCTACATCATGAAAGTGTAACACCTTCCCTTTTCAGAGGAAGACTGCTAGAAATCCAGGAAAACATCAGTTGCAGGGACAGCAATCATGCAGTGCCATCAACTGATTGCTTCTGGTATGTACACCATCTGAGACCTACTGATTTCAACAAAAATGACCGAAAAAAAAACCCAGAATTGACCAACTCATCAAGATTTTATTTCTGAAACAAATTTTATCCATTTAAATACAATATTTTGCTACAAATCTCATGATCACTTCTCTTGCACAAGAAGGCGGACACCTGAGGGCTGCTGCCTTGCTGCAGAAATCAGCAGTTTAAACTGCTCAACCACTTGTGCCATCTGCTGGAAACAACGTATTTTAGCTGCTTGCACAGGGAGCAGAGCCACCAGCCCTCTTTGCTTGCCGCAGGTCACCTTTGACAATGAGGTTGTTCCGCTTCTTTTGACTATTTTCGATGCTAAGTAAATTTAATGCTAGAGAAGCATTTTTGAAGATTGACATTCTCTCTCTGGATTGAAAAACAGTTGCAAAAGACAGGAACAAACTGTCCCTGCATGCCTCACCTGCAGGCTAAGAGGCTTCTTTTAAAGGTTAAGTCTATTATATAGCCAGGGAAGAGCACAGTTCTCACAGTTCTGGCAATGAACTGCTCCTCTAACAAGCGGTCTCCATCTCAGCCATGGGCCACCTCCTTTATTGGAGCAGAATCCTGTGATTTCCTTCCGTGTGGTTTTACACCTCAGGTGCTTGCAGCTCATCATGAGCACACCAGCAAGCGTGCTGCAAGCACAGCCACTCTACCCTCCGCAGAGCAACGACAGGGTTAACACTGACTAGTACAAATACCATTTGTACTTCTTCACCCTTCTTCACCTGAGCTGTGCCTCTGGAAATACACAGAGCATGATTTCTACTGGAGAAACTGTGTTGGACTTGTTTATTCATGGATTGAGCCTGTTCCTGAGATAAAGGTTGTGCTTTCACCAGGTTTGGATCTCCTGTCTCAGATCCTTTGAGCTGCACTTCCCCCTCTGGAAGATGACACTGTGAAAGACTTGCTGCTGTTGCAGTGTGTTTCAGAGCTGAGTTTGGTGTCAGTTCCAGCCTTCACCCTTCTGTGCCTGGAGAAACTGCAGGTCCATTGCTTATCACTTCCCCCAGACCTGGAACACAGGGCTAGGAGGACCCCAGGTTAAGAAGAGCTCATGGAGGAAAGAACTGCTGAGTGGCATGCTCTGTGAAAGCAGAGGGTGGCATTTTCACCTTTGTCACTACACAGTGCTGAATTGCTCTACCTGAATATTGAGATGGAGGATACACGATCCAAAACTACCAGCTAAGGATTGCACGCACTTCAGAGGTGATGATTAGAATCTGGACAGATTGGAGGAGCAGTATGAAGGGAGCTGGGTGCACCTCGCTAGAAGCAAGAGGAGTGAGCTGTGACAGCACAGGCAGGGCAGGGATGAGCTGGAGTAGGCAGTGAAGTGAGAAGGTTGAGGGGGGTACAGCAGGTGACTGACCAAACGGGTGTTGACAGTACACTTACACAAACCACGTGTTGTATGTGGATGTACACGAAACGGCTGTTGAATGCCAGTAATCCTGCCACAAGCCAGCACTTCCAATGCCTCAGCGAGAACAGTGGGAATGGCCCAAAGAGAAACCAGGAAAATGAGGGCCATGGAGAAGAGACAAGAAAACAAGAGAGATGACAATAACTGATCTCCCTGAATCAGTGTCTGCAGCTTAAGATAACTCACAAGTGCCAAGTCATTTTCTTCCTGACTTTCCAAAGTAATTAACCTTTGAACCGAGACAAAGCAGGAAATGAATGAAATCCTTCCATCACTGAAAAGGAATCTGACAGCGACTCTGACGGGACCATGATTGTATCTGAAAGTGTAAGAGAAAACTGGGCTCCAAGATACTGTAATTGAACAGAGCGCCTCTCAGCCCCAATAACGCTTGGACAAGTGGTGCTGCTATAAACTTGAGACTTGGGAGTGGGGAGGGTTGTGCATTCAGTCCCTTCTTATCCAAAAGGATTACATGCATTATAAAATTGAACTCTTTTTCTTGGATTCCTTCTTGGAGACCAAACTAGACTTTCCCTCATCCCCCAAAAATGCTCTCTGTTGCCATTTCTCTGGTAAATTCTCTCTCCTTTATTACAGATGCATAAAACTTATCTAGCTGGTAAGGATCTTGTTTTTTTTCAGTGAAAACATGCAATATGAATCGTGGGGAGGATACACTACTAGAAGTTCTTAAAGGTGACCTTGCAATTCAAAGGATTCATGAACTTACATGACCACATGTCACCCATTGCCTGTGCTCTGTGGAGATGTCCCTTGTTGCAAGGTTCAGCCACAGAACAGTACTGAGAAATGGCAATAAAAACAAATCCTCTGCCTGCCTTCCTGTGCTTCGGGAAGGCGCTGCGCTTCCCAGCCGGGTCCGCTCTCCTTTGCCCTGGATTGAGCTGGCCTCGCCCAGGGGCGCACCAGGGATTGCCCCACGCGGGTGACTCGAGCTGGAGCAGCACACAGCGCTCGCAGCCTGCAGGGCGCCGAGCTCTGACAGCACGAGCAGGCCTCCACCCGGCAGCCTCGGGGCCTCCCCGCGCTGAAGAGCGGAGCCCGCCCCGCTGCCTGCCAGGGGCCTCTCCCCCGGTGGGCGACGGTGGGGCCGGGCCGGTGGCAGCCGAGAGGCCGAGGCCCTCCTGTCGCTATGGCAACCGAGCACCGACTGGCGCCAGCCGCCCGCCGGCCCAATGGGGAGGCGGGAGGGGCGGTGGTGCCCCTGGCGCCGGAAGGGGCGTGTCGGCGGCGCCGGAAGCGGGCCCGCTCGCCGCAGGGTGTGTGTGCGTGCGCCGAGCGGCCGCCGCGCTCCAGTCGTCTCGCCCGCCGGGATCCAGGCCGCGGTGCCGCCGCCCCCCCGCCAGGTGAGGATCCCGGGCCCGCCGCCGCTTGGGCTCCGTTCCCTTCGCCCTCCCCCGCCACCGCGGTTAGGCCGCGCCGTTGCGGCTCCGCGGAAGCGTGCGGGGGAGGCCTCCGCGGCCTGCCCCCACCTCCGCCTCCCCGCAGGCCAGACCCGTTTCTCCTCGCTGGCCGGCCCGGCGAGGGGCTCCCAAGGCCACAGCGGGCCGCGGGGTCTGCTTCTGGCGCGCTGTGGGAGGGTCCCCTGTGAGGGGCTTGGGGGGGGGGCAGTGGCGGGTCCTGCCTCCCCCTTCGAGTAACGGAGTGACCCTCCCTCGGCTGCCGCTGCGGGGCCCGGCCGGGCGGTGCCGCCTCCTCCCCCCCCCCCGCCCCTCCAGCTCCGGTCCCTGCCCCGCCCTGGGTGAGTCACTCGCTCCCCGCGGGCGAGGCCGGCCGCGCACACCTGTACCGAGCGCCCGGGGCAGTGCCGGTCGCAGCCCTGCCCTTTCCGAAGGCTCCGGCCTTCACCGCCTCAAGCCTAAGAGAAGGGGTTGGGGCGTCCTCGCGCGGTCCCCAGAGCGGGAGCTCTGGCCCTGCCGGAATGCTGGGCCCGGGGAGGTGCCGTTTCTGTGCCGGTTGCTGTGAGCCTGCTCACGTAAGACCCAAGGCGATCACAGAAATGTCCTGAACGCTTTACAAGGAAACAAAATGATTTTATTATTATTTTCGAATTTGGGTCGTTCGTGTCTATTTGCGAATAGAGATGTGCTTAGGGAGGGTGCCAGAGGGAAAGCAGGTTGTTTCAAGCCAGTCCCAGCCTACAGAAGGGCTGGGCAGTAACTCGGAACTAACAACTGTAGGTTTTATTTAAGGTATGTACAACCAGGTATTAATTGGGATGATCGGATATCGGTGTGCTTTCACTGTGTTAGCATACAGGAGCAAAAATGCATCTGATGCAGAGATCACAATATTGATTTGTTGCTTTCAGCCAAATTCGTTATTAATAGTTAAAATACCTTTTCTAGTGGTAGGAAAGCAAAAAGCACATCATGCAGCACTGGCGAAAGTGAATTCCTAGGTAAAAATAGAGATTTTGAGCATGTGTGGAAGGTTTTGTAAGTTCAGCTGCTGTGGGAGTAGTTGTCTTCACCCATTCACTGCTGCAGGACACCTCAGTCAGAGATTTTTAATATTTTATGGAAAGAAAACCCCTTATTTTATAGTAATAATGAGATATCAGCTGGCTTAGAAAAGAAAATAAGAATGCAGTGCCTTTTTCACGCTTCATATTAAAGTACTTCAGAAATATACTGTGTATAATATTTTGTTTATTAAATTGGTGCCGATAAAGTGATAGACTCGTTGCACAGATGGGCCTGGTGCAGTTTTTTCCACCTCATTATGTCAGTACCGCATGTTCTGATCTCTGCTATTTTGATGTTGTCTCTTTTTTCCCCTCTAAGCAAGGCCTTTGCCAGTCTGCAGCTTTTTGCACTGCATCTGAATAAACTCTGATGAGGAGGAGTTGAGTAAATAATGATTTGAATAATGAGGTAAAAAGCTAGTACTCTAATGGGTCTGGTATTCTGATATCTCTAGGATCAGGTATAAGACCAGGCGTTATCATAGCATGTCTCTTCTATGGCCATGCTTCTTGCCCCACCCTGGAAAAGAAATGTTCTCAGTTTAGTATTAACAAATGTGATTTACCTGTGATATGAATACATTAGTTTGGCATGAACCTTATGCCTGGGGGAAGATTTTTGGGAATAACTCACTGTTTCCACCTGGACTCTAGCCAAAACCAGTTCTGCTAGTTGGAACAAAAAGGTATTACCATGTAAGTATGTTGTACTTTGGAACCACGTGCTTGTCTCCACCTGCAGCTGTCTGGTGTGAAGTGCCACGGGTATGAGCAGCCTGGTCCCTTGTTTAAATGACATGAAGAAGAACAAGGCTACTGTCGCTATCTTTAAGTTGTCTGTACATGCTATTGGTACTTGTCATTGAAATTTCTTAATTGTCTATGGAGCTTGGAAATGGTTGAAGGTCACTTTATTCAAAATTTATATTGGCCTTTAGGAAGCAACAAGTAGCAATGGCAGGGGATGGCCAGAGCAGGTTTAGGCTTGGCTTTAGAGAGTGTTCATTTTATCTGAACATGTGCAGAAATGTTTGAGCTGAAGGCTAGGGCAAACGGTTAATCAGGAGATGCAGAGGAGGCTGAAATTATGCGCTGTACAAGGTCAGCAAGAATATCACAACTATGAATTCATTTTCCTTTTTCCCTCATTATGTTTGCAGTATATTTTACTGAACTTGTTGTTTAAGCTCTTGTCAAGAAGATATCACTGTTCAGCTCTTACCAGGCACATTAATTTTGTTATCGGTTATTTAGCAATAGGCTTTGAGGGGACCAAAACAGAAAAAAACACAACTAATAAAATCAAATGCCTAATAGTACAGTCAGGCAAGCGATGTTTCTTGCACTCCATTTAAAGAGTTGATTCCTTTCTTATGAAGAATATCTCCTGGGAGTGACGTCTACCTGACAGTGAATGACATCAGTGTCATCCAGATCCTTGGGTCAACATGTGTGTACCTGAATGATGGAGAAGGATTTTCCATTTGGTTTAGAAATAGTAATCCAAAGCTCTTCCTCTCTGTAATTATAGAACTTTAATTCAAAATACCACTTACCTCATGTGAATGTTTAATTTTGGAGTGAATTGCCTATCCAGGAATCAAATAAGGTATGTTCACATACTGTTGGAAGATTGAATGACAAACTCTGCACCAGTCTGCTGGTTTTCCTGTTATAATTTGAATGGACTTGCAGAGTTGATGACTGAGAAGTGTGGTTGCATCCTATCTCACCAAATGGGGTTTTACGTTCCTTTTGCACAGTGTAATGTGCAGGTCTGTTAACTCACATCTCTACTTGACTCATTAGAGACCAACATATCAAACCAGTAACCACGCTGCATTCTCACCAGTGTTTATTTACAGAGTGAAAATGTTTGTCTGATAGATACTCATGCTTGCTATAAAGAGAAAACCAGTACACAAAATCAATGACTTAATTATCAGAAGAACAGGTCATCGGGCGCAGCAGACTTCAGGCCAATGTAGGCTTATTGGTGTTGTCTTGTCAGTTCAATATGTTACATAAGGCAGATTTTTTTTTCAGTCTCAGTTTTCATTTGATTTCTGCAGACTTTAAACACAGTTGCTTCTGGTCTGTTCTGGCTTTGTTCTAAACAGCTCATTGAGATCAGAAACAATATGAAGCAGATGGGGTAACTGCTGAGTAGTAAGATGTACTTCTCGAGCTCCTGCAGTCTTCTGAAGAACAGTGTATTTCTTACTCCTCAGCTGTTACTGATGCGTAAACCTCCAGTTCTGTGTGTCCATCCACTCCTGAAAGATCCATGTTCTGAATTCAAGTTTGTTCCCAGGACGGTCACACCATCCCCTTCATACTCTGTCTTCCACTGCAAGTAACAAGGCAGTTACAAACTAATGTGTTTTACAGGTTCCTAATTCATTTCAGGCTTTTGTCTACACAGGCATAAAGCTTTTCTGGGGGTGGGAAGTAAGCACTTGTAACGTTTAGTAACTGCATACGTGCTCTTCAGCATTTGTAAGAGAGATTAAAAGAACTCTAGGCTGTATGGGAGGTAAGAGGTAAAAAAAAGTAATAAATCACATTTTGAGTGTGGGATTAAGGTGATACAAATTTCTGGCAGCTGCTACTGTCAGCTCTGGCTGCTGGTGGTTGGTGCTCCTTATTGTAACTAGGGTCCAGCCGCTTCCTTTTGGAGGGGCTACTCGCTTATGGTTTGACAGATTCTTAAGAAGACAGTGTCTTAAGAATTTTATATGTATTCATGCATCTAATATGAGAATCTTCTGCTTAGAATGGGCAACTTCCAGGACTCCTCCATGGCTGTGATCTGCACATGTCTGCTCCTTTTTCCATCTTCCCTCTTTTCCCCTTGCCAACATGGCATGGCTTCCTTAGTGCTGGAATAGATCATTCCTGTCGGCCTTCTGTTCATCACCTCTGTGTGTATTGCTCCTAGCTGCAGGTAACCCTTGTTAGATGGCTTCTGTTTGTGGCCTAGGAGTATTTTTAGCTCTAGGCTTTGCTTGTTTCAGACTGTGGCACACTGATCCATTGTTAGTGTGGCTTTCATCTCCTCTGTGGGAGGGACCAGTTATAACTGATAGTTGCTTCTTTGCCTTTTCAAACATCACTCCTTTCCTTATATCTTTTTTCCTTCTGGCAAACACTTCCCTCCTTTGGAGCTCAAGCCAGCATAGCTCTGCAAAGCTCTCTCCAAGCTTCTAACAAGGTAAGCAATGGAGAACCAAACTAGGATTTTAAGTGTTCCTTTATGCAGCACCCTGTGAACGAAATCATGGCAGGCTTACTGTCACTTGCAGGTAGTTTGGTGTGGACCATTATTTTCTTACTGCATGT